CCAAGGAGAGAAGCAACCTAGAACTAAGGATTAATTTCCTGACAGTGAGGACAATTAACCAGTGGAACCAGATTGCCACCAGAAGTTGTGGCTGCTCCATCACTGGAGGCTTTTAAGAAGAGACTGGACAGCCACTTGTCTGAAATTACCTAGGGCCTCCTGCTTGAGGCTGCAGGAGGCTGGACTAGAAGACTTCCAAGGACTCTATTCTATTCTATTCTATTCTATTCTATTCTATTCTATTCTATTCCATTCCATTCCATTCCATTCCATTCCATTCCATTCCATTCAAAAGCGGCCAATCACCTCCTTCTCATTTTCTGCATCGAGATGGGCCCTGGAAGACTATTAGCCAGATAAGCTAATTATTGCACAAAAGAAAAGCTGAATATCAATTATTTTAAAACAAAGACTTTTGGAGGAAGAAACATGAAACATTGATAGACGTTTAGCCACCCAATGCAGCAACGTCCCTCTATAAATACCTAAAGTTTTGCTTGTCATAAGTCCTTTCTATGGAAGGGTGAGAGAAGAGGTTGCTCAGAAAATGGCATTTTTGCTCCTGTCATCCTATCTCTTTAAGCTCTCTATAAAAGCAGTGCTGAAGGAGAGAGCGAGCTGTGTGTGGAGGTTAAGCAACTAGAAGGAGGATTTTTCTCTATACTCACAGGGAGTCCTTGGAATAGCAGTGGGAAAGAGTGGAGTAGTGATGAGGAGTGAGTAATAGCTGTGAAGACTGTGTGTGTGTGTGTGTGTGTGTGTGTGTGTGTCTAGGGACGTGGTGTTGTTGGCTCTTTTGTTTTTTGGAGCCCGCTAAACAGGGTCTAGTTAAAAGGACCCATGAGAAAGTAGTGGTAGAAGTGGGATATTCATTTTAAAAAACTGGAATATCCAAAGCAGGATGGCAACCACACAAGAAATTACTTGCTGGAAACAACATGTAATTATTACAGAGCATTTTGGAGAGTGAGTGTCTTACCATATCTTGTTTTCTGGGCTGGTTGCCAACCTTTGCCGGACTTTGTTTATTCTTGGTATGTTATAACTTTGATAAGGACCGTTGGTGTGTGTCACAATCCTTGGGAATCTGGAGCTGAGGCAGAACACATCCTGACTTCAGAAGGCAGACCTCTTACCAGACCTACTACCAGACCTAATGTACCTACACCACACAAATAGATGTGGAAAAGGTAGAAGAGAGAGAGAGAGTCCCCCTTAGAGACTACGGCTTCGGTAGAATTGAGTATCTGTCCGTCCCCCCCATGCCTATAGCTAACTCAAAGAAGACAGTCAACTGTCAATTTTTAACATGACACAGGTAGTCCTTGACTTACAACAGTTCATTTAGTGAGTGACCTAAGTTACAACGGCACTGAAAAAAGTGACTCATGACTGTTTTTCAACTGTTGCAGCATCTCCATGTGATCAAAATTCAGATGCTTGGCAACTGGCATGTATTTATGACTGTTGCAGTGTCCTGGGGTCATGTGATCCCCTTTGGCGACCTTCTGACAAACAAAGCCAATGGGGAAGCCATGCTAACAACCGTGTTACTAACTAAGCAACTGCGGTAGTCGCAAAATGGGGCATGATTCGATTAACAACTGTCAATTGTGGTCATCAGTTGAGGATTACTTGTATTCACTCTATTGATTCATTCACATTTTCTTCCTAGGACTATAGGAACAACACCACACACTATAAGGTTAACACTAACACATAAATATGTTTCAAGCTAAGACGTTTGCCTACCAGTTTTATGCACCACTCGGAAGAGGCCACGATGGTTGGGGTTTCCTCCCCCCCCACACACACACAAGTAACTGAAGGTGTGAGTATTACTCATGAACTACCCAGTCATCATACTTTTTGTTCCTAGTTTTATTTAGTTGATTAGCTCAAATCTGCTCTGAGGACGTTTCACAGAGAAAAGAAATGATATCCATCCATCCATCGCCACAAGAAGCCACATTCATTGCCACTAATAGTGAAAAGCTGGTTCTATGGACTCATAAAAGAATAAAGGAAGACAGTCTCAATGAGTCTCAGGTTCATTTGTTCCTCTGTCCTTTTCCACTTTATGAAGCCCGGTTTAGAATAAGGTGCTGGCAATTTCACTTTCTTAATAAATAATTTTTATTGTACTTTAATGCTTAATCTTTTGCTGATCTCCAGTGGATGTCAAGTTGACTTCACTGCATTGTATTTGAAGGAGTTGTAGAGAATTTTGCAATCCCTGCTCATCTCACAAAATAGTGGTGCTTCCAAAATTTGGAATGATTTCTTATAGCCAGGAGCTGGGTTTCCATCCTCTCCCTTTCTCTAGCAATATCATAGAATACCTGTGGGGTCCTTGGTGCTCTCTGAGCTTGGTGTTTTTCTTGCAGACGTTTTCATTACCAAACTAGGCAACATCATCATAGTTTGATAATAAAATGTCTGCAAGAAAAACACCAAGCTCAGAGAGCACCAGCGACCCCACATTTCAACCCTGAACTGCAATATTCTCTTTTATTGGTAGAGTATATCTATAAAAAGAAAATGGTTGGAGGAAATGTAATTGAATCAAATGGGACCAATCATTGTACTGTATGTTATCTATGTGGTGGTATGAAAGATCTGCTTAAAAATTAGAATGTAATGTATCAACATTTGGCTCCGTGGTGATTGGATAAAGGATAATTAAAGGCTATATCCACCTACAGAATAACATTGATTTAATAGAGAATGATGATCAGGCCTAGCTCTCACTGAGACGTACAACGAAACTGTTCTGAGGCTGTAAAAACTAGAATAAGAAAGTTCAAAGAAAATTATTTCTTTTATTTCCATCCTATTCCAATTATGAAAGTGAAAGATGAACCCAAAATTCTTGCTTTGTGTAGTGTTACGCAATACCTCTGATATACTTGCAAATGTCCTAGAATCTAATTAGGGCAAACTATTTTGGACATGCTGGAATGCGTGTGAGAAACTGAGCCAGAGAGACAAGACGTAGAGGCTGCAAATAGGCTTGGGTTTTGTTGATTTTTTTTTAAAATATAAATGGAAATAAAAAAGCTTGAGCGTTTGACTTGGATTCTGGACTGTTAGGCCTTGATGGCATCAACTGGGTGGCTTCCTTTGTTTTCATTCCACCATTATTTTCCTTCCACACCTATGGTTCTATTTCTTTGTGGGTTACAATATTGGATTACATATGTTTTTGCTATTCAAGATGAGAATATTGTGGAGGTAAGGTAACATGATATTTATTGCTAAACAGCAGAAAGCTGCAACATTTATGATTTGTGTGTGAGAAGTACAGGTTTATTTGGGCTACCTTAAGAAATCCTTTCATCCTAATATCTATCTATCTATCTATCTATCTATCTATCTATCTATCTATCTATCTATCTATCTATCTATCTATCTATCTATCTCCATCCATACCTACCTACCTACCTACCTACCTACCATATCTATCTATCTATCTATCTATCTATCTATCTATCTATCTATCTATCTATCTATCTATCTATCTATCTATCTATCTATCTACCTATCTATCTGTATTATCCCATATCTATATATTTTTTATCCTATATATCTATATACTTTTTATCCTAATATCTATATATCTATATATCTTTTATCCAATAATATTTGTATATTATCCTAATATCTTCAAACCTAATGCATTTTTGTTGGTGAGAATGGAAGCAAGGAGAAACTCAGAATATTAATGTTTTAATGGAAATAATTACTTGCAATTTGGGGAATATGGAAGAAGTCATGATTCAGAAATGCTTGACAGAGAAAAGAAGGGTCTCTCCAACCAGGAAATAATGAAATTCATGATAGTTGTCAGCCAGATGGAAACTATAAATACAGTATAAAAGTAATAGGTGAAGATGAGATGGAATCAGTTAGAGTCTTGATGACTCATTTTAAGCATGTCTCTAAGATTTGGCATCAATCCCTACTGAATTTCAAAAGATGACATCTCTGATGCCTTAGAAATCAACCCAGAGTTAATTATTATACAGCTGACATCCAATAAGATTCCTTCCAATAATAGGAAACCCTTGCAAGTTGTCTTATAGTTCATGATTCTAGATGGAAAATTCACATTCTGATTGACAGAGATGAAAATGAGGAAATTGTGGTTTTAATAGCTCATGCATTAAAGGTGAAAGGGCCAGTCTGGTCCCCGGCATCTTATTCAATGTGAAACGTCAGAGAGATTCAAACTGATGAGAGTAGAGATGCAAGCTTCTCATGTTCCACTTCCCCATCATTCTTTCAGAACCAGTGACTGATGTTAACCTAACCATCTCTCTGTTTCTTAAGTACATAATGAGAACAATAATCAGTGAGAACAATTAACCAGTGGAACGGCTTGCCTTCGAAAGGTATGGGTGCTCCATCACTGGAGGTTCTTAAGAAGAGCCTTGATAGCCATTTGTCTGGGTCTCTTGCTTAAGCTAGGGGTTGGACTAGAAGACCTCCAATGTCCCTTCCAACTCTATTGTTCTATGTTCTACAATGCTTCAAGAAACATCATAGAACCAATACTAGGAACTATGATAAGAGAAAATTAGAATCTCCTATTTCTTTCCATAGATCTGAGGGTATATCCCTAATAGCAATACAACTCATGACAAACCAATCTTATTTCATTCTCTAACATAGTGACTAAATTAGTAGACCAGCGAAATACTATGGACATAATATTCTTAGACTTCAGGAAGGCATTTGACAAAGTAGACCACAGCCTACTTCTTGGTAAGCTAGAAAAAAAGTAGGATAGATAGCTTCACCACCAGATGGATTTGCAACTGGCTGGCATCTCCAAATACAGAAATTATTTTGAAGTCTAGAGTGACAAATGGTGTAATTTCCATCTCTGCTCAACCCTCCTAGCTGAGTCTTTTTAAAGTAAAAGTTGATGGTCCGTGGGAATAATATCTATTATATTAAAATGTGTTTTTCCTCCATTCTGTTTCTTCCTTCTCTAGATACAACAACCTATTCCATTGAACAATCTGAGCACTTTAAGCCATGCAAGGATAAGGATCTTGCATACTGTCTTCATGATGGCGAATGCTTTGTCATTGAAACCCTAACAGGATCTCACAAGCACTGCAGGTAAGACATTTTTTTATTTATATAAAAGGTTGATCATTGTTGTGTTTTTTAAATCATGGCAACATTCAGATGCACACCCATGCCCAGATTAAAACAAGCACAATAAATATACCTGGTTTAAAATATTACTTTAAAAAAAACAGCAAGAAGGAAATTGGATTAGATTTCATGTCTAAAGCTCGTGACAATTGGTCGGTAAAGATTACTGATGGTATCTGTGAACACCCCCTATCAATGAATAATGAGGATGGGAATGGTGATTCTCATTAAACTGATTTCCCCCAAACTCAAGATAATTTGTTGTTGGAAAATAGAAGCTGATTAGAAGGTACGCATTAGAGGTGGAAGTTGTTTTCAGTATTTTATTACTAGGTGATTTTTTTTTTTTACTTCCCTTTATATGTGGAGGTGGGAAAAAAAAGAATATTGATGAAGGGCCCTCAGATGTTCAATAAAAGTTTGCCGAACTACTGCGTAATTGAATTAATGTTTGAGAACATCATTGCGTTTAGGATTGAGGGACTTAAGGATCGGGACCATCCGTGGTGCATGCTGTCCTGTAGAAGGAAGGTTTGCATCAAGAATGCTGACCAAGGATATAACATCTAATTAACATTTCGTATTACCAAATGGGGGTTTCCTATGCCAAAGGGATGCTTATTATTTTATCATTTGGGGAGAATTTGGATTCAGAAAAATCACAAGTTTTAGTCTGTGAGTTATTAGATGTTCAGGGGTTGTTATACAAAATGCTTTGCTTATTGTTATAGCAACTTTCACATATGTATAAGTTTTATTCATAAATGGGTTTATGCTTAAATTTCTGAATGTAACCGAAATACAGTAAATCTAGAATGAAAAGAATAGTCACATCAGCTTCTTCAGATTACTGGCTCCATCCAATCTCAGGAATATTTATTTTTCTGCCCATGTTATGTTTTATTAGATTTCTTTTCTCATCTGAAAGTTGGCAAAGTTATCCCCAGTTAGGATTTTTTTTTTTTTGAGTTCTTCCTTTGAAGTGATTGCGTTCTGCCGTTATTTAATAGTATTCAACTATAATGCCCAGGCCTGTTTTTTAATGCATGGATTCTATAGTTGTGAGCCTTTACAAGGCTCTCAATTTATGATTTTGAATTTGGTGACTAATTTCACAGCAGCCTCCCAGGAACCTCAGAAGTAAGTAACTCAAAAGGGACGAATGTCCTTTGGGCTCTTGACTAAATGACCTCAAAAATGGCTCGCTTTAAGTCCGAATTAAGCCCAGTGCCCAGATTCATCTTGGCCTATACCAATCGAGTGATTTGGCAATAAATCTTCAATAACCTCTTTGGAAATTCCCTACCTGAGGCTGTTTGGTTTGGTTGCTTCAGCGGGCAATGAGCTAGATCTCAGTTGCCGTATTTATCACTGTGTTTGCACTGAATTGCTTTCATCCTCTTGCATAAAAGGGAAAATGAATCTGTCTAAATGTGGATGCTAAAAGTCAAAGATAGACAGATGACACACTGTTGATTGGCTCTGTCCCTGAAACAAACGTAGTATGGCTATTAATAGCCATTGCAGAGTGTGGCCCTAATTTTATTCATTTGTTTATCAATTTGCTTGTTTATTAAATTTCTCCCATGCCCATCTCACTTAAGGGACTCTGAGCGATTGGTAATAGATACTTGCTTAGGGTATTTGAATCAGGGGTGGGTTCTAAAATTTTTTACTACCAGTTCTGTGGGCATGGCTTATTTTGTGGGTGTGGCTTGATGGTCATGTGACAATTCTTTAGGATTTAGCAGAGGTACTGGTCTGCCAGGCTTTTAACTGCTTGCAGAGCTGTACCGGTCTACCCATTTGTTCTTGGAGCGTTCCGGTCTGCTCATTTGTTTTTGGAGGCACCGGTCTACCCATTTGTTTTTCGAGCGCACTAGTCTACCACCACACTGCCTTTTAACACTGATCAGCTGTAGGGCGGCCCTTTGAAGCCCCACGGCAAGAGTTTAAACAGTTTTTTTCCTTCTAGCCGATCAGCTGGGACTCGGGAGGCAGCGAATAGATTGGGGGCGGGGCCAAATAAAAGGTAAGAATAACGGGGGGGGCAGTTCCCGAACAAAGAGAACCGGTTCGGTGATGTCATATCATCACCGCACCGGCTCAGCCGAACCTGACCAAACTGGGAGGAACTCACCACTGATTTGAATGATTGATTTACTCATTCTGCCTAAGTCAAGTCTTCTCAAACTATATTCCTTTCTCTTCAATTGGCCTGTATCTGTTAGATCAGTGTATTCTCAGCTTTGTGAACTTTAAGAGGTGTAGACTTCAAACTCCCAGTCTACACCTCTTAAAAGTTAACAAGACTAAGAATACTGCCAACTCTGAAGCGAAACTGGCTGAAGCCATCTTGTGCTACCTCATAGTTGCCACGAAGCCAGAAAGGGGGAAGGGAGGGAGGGAAGTAGATAGCCAGGCTCCAGTCAAAACAAAACGCTTTCTTGTGGGAACCAAGGTCATTGAAACAGGTGGCCATTGAAAGTGGAGAAGAGCCTGCCTTCCATCTTTATTGGACAATGTGACCGGTGACACCTGGGAGGGGGGAGTTTGATTCTTTTAATTAGGTGAAAACCGCAGGAACTGTCAGAGTTGGTTTTCATTGGCTGTGCCAATATGATGTATCCAATAAACATATGCTTTGAGGAATCTACCTGCCTAGGAGTTATGCTTTCAATAGGTGCATTGCTCGGAATGCTGACAAATACACTGTGTTAGGCGATGTGAATTTTTCTTAATTTATGGCCCAACTTCCTATGACAAGTCATTTCAAAACACACTTCTGAATTCTAGAGCCGTGTTTAAATATTTGGAGTAAAACAGGGCTTCTGAGCCGACAAACACTCCCCGTTTACATTCAGTAGCACTCCAAAAATATTTGCCAGTCCTCAAATCCATCAATCTTTGAATAGTCATTGTCTGCGTACTGAGTTGCTTTTCTTTTTCCTTTCAATCACATACGCTTCACGGATCACTCACTGCTTCCCCTATTTACTTTTTCTTCTTATGACACCCTTATTAAAGTAATTACTCTCAATCAATCCAGTTTGTAGATTTATGACAATAACTTGCTGAAGCTATCTTAAAACTTTCTAGATGAATAGGGAAATTCTTCTGCTAGCAATCAGGTGGCTGTTTCTGAGCAATGGTGTCTGTGTGAGAGTATTTTTTTTTAATTTGATTTATATGCCGCCCTTCTCCGGAGACTCAGGGCAGCTTACAATGCGTTAAGCAATAGCCTTCATCCTTTTGTATATTTATACAAAGTCAGCTTATTGCCCCCACAAACTGGGTCCTCATTTCACCTACCTTAGAAAGGATGGAAGGCTGAGTCAACCTTGAGCCTTGGCGAGATTCAAACCAGCAGTAATTGCAGGCAGCTGTGTTAATAATAGGGTGCTTAGACCACTGTACTATCAAGGCTCTGTACTATCAAGGCTCTTTTGTGTGGTAAAACAAACAAAAGAGAAAGCAATCCCCGTAGCGGTAAAATTCCTTTGTGTGTAGGTATAATTGAAGTCTGTCAATCAATTTCTAAGGCCAGGGATCTTAGGGAACAGGACCCCCAGAATGGGCCATACAAAGGAGATGAATTGGAATGCCAGTAGAGTTTCTTTTTATCGGCAAGGTCTCATTCTGGTCTAAAAAGCTAAATGACCAAACTGATTTCAGCTGAATTGATCTCTCTGGTTGTTTTATTGGGGGGTGGGGGTGGCGGCGGCACAATGGCTCAGCGGTTAAAGAAGCTGACAGCCTGGGTTTGAGACCCGAGTCTGCACAATGGAGTGGGGTCCCATTATTTGTCCCATCTCCTACCCACCGAGCAGTTCAAAAGCATGCAAATGTGAGTAGATAGATAGGTACCACTTTGGTGGGAAAGTAACAGCGTTCCATGCCCCTCAGTGTATAGTCATGCTAGTCATGTGACCACAGAAATGTCTTCAGACAATGCTGGCTTCCCTGGTTAAGAAACGGAGATGAGCACTTCTCCCTAGAGTCGGGCACAACTGGACAGGGGAAACCTTTACCTTTAGTTGATTTATGTCAAAAAGAATTTTAGTTGTTAGGATTTGAATCCCAAAATGCTTGGAATATTTGTAGGTCAGTATAGATGTACAAAGTAGGATGGACTATCAGAAGGTCAACTAACTGAAAATCATGGCCTCCTTCCACCGGACAAGGTGGACTGAGAAGGAAGCAGACAGATTTCCTTGAGTCTGTGAATTTATAGAGGATCAACAGATTGGGGAAAATTTGATGGAGCCCATCAAAAGAAGGATTTCAGAAATGATACAGCACTTGGAATAATGAATATGAAGGGCATTTTAGGATGTGCTTTAAAACTGTAGAGATGAATGGCCTTCAAAGAGTATTTTGCCTCCAAAGGATCTCAGTTTCTGCCGACATTTCTCTTAAGGACAGTTGTGGGAGTCAGGTTGATGGCCCAGCTGAGAGTGATACACACTAAGATTGTAACAAGCTTTTCTTGCTAGATTCATTCCAAGGTGATTTGCTCAAATCCACCTTTAAATTGAATTTTCAGTATAAAAGCAATTGAATCCAGAAGCTTCTACCCTTCCAAGCCCAACTGGAATTGATGTCTGGGATCCAGTTCAGTGTTTCTGAATTGAATTGGCAATGAGAAGGACTTTTGTGGAAGCTTGTTACTGGATCAAGTTGATGGTTCAAATAGACAAGAATTCAACCTGACCAAACTCATCAAATGGATGAATGTGAATCTCAGGTAATTTTCAAACCCATAATTATCGGACACGTTGAGATCTCAGATGCAGAGGGAGGTGTCCTCAGAGATAGGATTGGCAGGATCTGGAATAGATCTTCAGTGGATATACAGTTGACAGGAATTTCAAGAGAAGTCTTTTTTTTTTTTACCACTGGAGACACTCCTGTCAACCCTCGAAGACCATTCATGGGTCAGGCCACCTGGTTTGCAACTG